ATATATATATATCCATGTTGTTGGATCCAAAACCAAGCTCTCATGATGGCCTGCCTTCTTAGGATTCTCCTTCTGAAACTGGCACTTCCAGACGGGCAGCCATTGAGATGGAGCTTTTTGCGCTTTCCGCATGTTGCAACACTCGCGAAAAGCAATCAGTAACAAAGCTTGTCTGATAACATGTCGCAAGATGGCGAGCTGTCCCTTTGGCAAACTGCAACACTAAACCATGCGTCATTCATGATCTGAGCCGGCAAACTCATCGACGGCCCAGTGCAGCCAATGCAGCTTTCAGACTCGAAACACCAGAAATACAACAGAGCAACGACCTTGTGCGCATCAACAAATTAATCGGCCCAGCATCCAGCCAAGCCCGGGGATACAAAGCATCCAGACAGGCCATGGGAAACAAGTGGAAGACAAGTGAGCTTACTGGGAGCCAAGTCGAGACATGTGGGAGACAAGTGTGAAATCATGCGGCCAGAGCACTCAGAGCATCCAGAGCTTACTGGGAGACAAGTGGGAGACAAGAGTGAAATCATGCGGCCAGAGCACTCAGAGCATCCAGAGCTTACTGGGAGACAAGTGGGAAACAAATGGGAGACAAATGGCAGACAAGTGTGAAATCATGCGGCCAGAGCACTAGAGCATCCAGAGCTTACTGGGAGACAAGTTGGAATCATGCGGCCAGAGCACTCAGAGCATCCAGAGCTTACTGGGAGACAAGAGCACTGAGAGCATCCAGAGCTTACTTGGAGACAAGTGGGAGACAAATATGAACTGAGAGCATCCAGAGCTTACTGGGAGACAAGTGGGAGACAAATGGGAGACAAGTATAAAATCATGCGGCCAGAGCACTGAGAGCATCCAGAGCTGAGTGGGAGACAAATGGGAGACAAGTATAAAATCATGCGGCCAGCGCACTCAGAGCATCCAGAGCTTACTGGGAGACAAGCGGGAAACAAACTTGGAGACAAGTGGGAGACAAGTGTGAAATCATGCGGCCAGAGCACTCAGAGCATCCAGAGCTTACTGGGAGACAAGTGGGAAACAAATGGGGCACAAGTATAAAATCATGCGGCCAGAGCACTCAGACCATCCAGAGCTTGCTGGGAGACAGGTGGGAGACAAGTTTGAAATCATGCGGCCAGAGCACTCAGAGCATCCAGAGCTTACTTGGAGACAAGTGGGAGACAAATGGGAGACAAGTGTGAAATCATGCGGCCAAGCACTCAGAGCATCCAGAGCTTACTGGGAGACAAGTGGGAGACAAATGGGAGACAAGCCTGAAATCATGCGGCCAGAGCACTGAGAGCATCGAGAGCTTACTGGGAGACAACTGGGAGACAAGTGGGAGACAAATGGGAGACAAGTATGAAATCATGAGGCCAGAGCACTGAGAGCATCCAGACTGGGAGACAAGTGGGAGACAAGTGGGAGACAAGGGTGAAATCATGCGGCCAGGAACACAAGCCCGGAGACAAACTCAAAATCATCCGGCCCGAGCATGCACCCCTTTAAAAGGAGTAAGAACCCCTCACAGGTAAACCTGTTTGGGGAATAAAGGGCTGCACTAGAAGATCAACACAGGAGAGTAAGGATAAACCTAGTGCCTTGATGAGAGCCTTAGTTCTCGTCTTAGGCAAATGGGAGACGTTTCGTAAGTTGGGACAACCCGAAGAATTCTAAGCAAGCGCACTGAGTTTCTTCTTTGTCGGTTTAGCCAGAGATGTTTCATCTTTTTGACTAGCCAAAGCAGAAAACCAACGGAAAGAGGAGCAAGTGAATATTGACACCGCTAAGCCAAGCTGGCTCAAGTGAGTCCCCTGCGTTGGACCTGATTTCAGACTGGTCTTCAGATGGAGACCACCCCTGCCTCCAATTTGAGCACATCGGCAGAGAGCGAAGCAACCATGGATTGCCAGCTCCTGCTCACCACCATGGCAGGCAATGAAGTTACTGTATCAACCAACATTGCTCAGTTCGACAGATTTGAAGACTTCGAAGAACACATAGTCGATTACTTGGCCACTGTCTCTGACTTGGATGTCTTTGGCAGTGAATTAGACTTTATCCATCCAACCACGCAGGAGTGTTTGCAGGACCACGTCTGGGACGCCCTGCAAGAGAATAAGCATTTCACTCTTGTGGTGCGAGAATGTGTCGAAATCTTCCAATCCAAAGAGGACTTTGAAGACTGTGCGTATCGGGATTATCCGAAAGCAGTCAAAGTTCCGGCCAGTGAAGCGGGCATCATCCCACCTAGTGCTTTCCTTGCAGTCCCACGCCTACGCCATGTCATCGTCGAAGAAGGCATCCACACTGTTGGGGCGCTTGCCTGGCAAAATTGTCGCCACCTTAGGATTGTCAAGCTGCCGATCACAGTAGTGCGCATCGATGAAAGTGCCTTTCGGGGGTGTCATTGGCTTAATAGCATAATTGCACTAGGCTGCACGGACTTCGGTTACAAGGCCTTTGCCGACTGTTGTTCGTTGCAATATGTTCATGCCAATGGAGGAGTCAACACTTTCAGTGGTGCAACTAAACTAGGCCACTATCTCTTTGACGCGTGCATTAACTTAGCTGCCATGACAATACTGCAAGCCGTTGGCGAGCAGCAGTCATTGACGCCTGTCCAGCGTCGAGAGCTCCCAACGGGGTGCTTCTGCTCCACAGGATTGAGTGATCTCAAGTTACCCCTTGACTTCTATAGGCTAGGAGCCCATGCCTGTGACAATTGTAAGCTTCTCTCTCACGTCGACATATCAGAAACGACTGTAACAGAGATTCGAGAGTTTACATTTGCGCACTGTGTGCTGCTCCCGAGTGTCATGCTCCCATATACACTCCACACTATCCATTCGAAAGCTTTTATGAATTGCGCTGCTTTGCAAGAGTTAGCCATCCCACCATCACTTCATTACATTGCCTGCAAGGCCTTCCTAGATTGTACAGTCTTGAGAAGGCTTACGCGAATGCCAGGCAACAGAACTACGTGGAGAGGGACCTACGCGGAAGAAACTGCCTTTGCGCTTTGTCCTAGATGGCGTCTGCCACAGTGGCTTCACCTTATTCCCGATCTCGGATATGTGACGGACTTGGCCTGAGTCCATCAGAGCCACATCGTAGATGTCAAGTAGCAAGTGCACCACGCCAAAACAATCCGACTGCCCTCTCCAACCCATACAAAGGAGAGAAGTGTCAGTCAGGTGTTGTCACTGCTCAGAGACCAACATGCCCACACTTGTGCAATCCTAGTGAGCTGACACAGGCGAGAACCTTAGTTCTCGTCCTGTGTCCGCACGCGACGGTAGGAAAGATAGGTGGTTGGCACCCAGGTGAGAACCTTAGTTCTTGGCCTGGTGAGGGCCCGTACCCTGCCAATCCTGTACAAAGTGGGCAAACGGCACCACACTAGCCTTCCAAGTTTCACCATGTTTCACTAGGGCCGTGCGTGAAGGAGGCGAGTCGTTTGATGGATCGGATTGCTGTCCGGCCAGGATAGCACATTGCACATTTGCTGCGCTCCCGTAGGCTTAGCTGTTAAGGAGCGTGATTGAAATGTGCACACCTGCTCGCTCAGTTGAGGGAGCTTCGTCAGGCGCCGGAATGAGCACCTGAAAGCAATGACTACCATAGGCAAGCTGCCCGCCAAGGCCACAGCTCTTCCTGCCTTCGCAATTGCTAGGAACGATTGTGACCAGGGTAAAGCTGTTTTCCAAGGCCTGACCTACATTGCTCTTTGATCATCGAGCTTCGACTAGTTGCACTCTGAGGGAACTCTCCGGCACAGCTCACAGTAGGAAGCTGCTAGATAGCTTGAGCACTTGCGCCAGCAAGTGCTTGCGACTTGGCCTGTCCGCTTACAGGCCTTTTGCGCAATGCCTCTTCGCATGCAAATCGACAGCAGCTTGAATTTGAATTCCTGGCCCAGGTAGCAAATAGCCGCCTATGATGTACAGAGACGAAGCTCCGCTGTTCTCGCGTGTTTGCTTGTGTTTTGGTTTTGGTTTTTGTTTGGTGGTTTTGGCGTTTTGTTGGCCTGGTGTCTTTCTTGTTTCTGGTTTTTGAGAATGCGGAGTTTCAACCATTAGCAAAAGATGACCTGTGCACACCGCACACATGGCGTCTCCACTCGTGAAAAAAAAAACGGACCAGCTCACGAAGTCCGCAGTGCGGAATTTGGTGCAGGAGTGCCTTCAGCTTGACGGTCAAACCGATCCGAGCTGGAGGGCACACCGTGGATTCAGCTGAACAGAATTGTGGGTGTGAGAAACACGAACTTTCAGCATGAATCCATTTGAGCATTCACGAATGCCTTCCGACTCAAAACCTGGGCAACAGGGCCCTTGAGACAAGTGGCGCAAAACGTGCCGTGTGCGTTGCACAGAGTTGTTTACTTCGCTGTGTTTTCAACTCATGTACAATTCACTTCAAGATGCTTGATTCTAGAAGTGTCCTCGAAGTGTAGAACAAATGTTGTGTTCACACCCAAAACCAACGTTGGAAGGTAATCTAAAGCTTGCTCAAGTCAGTGTGCACTTCGATGACCTAGAAAAGAATTGACCTCCAAATCGATCTCGAACATTGTAGTGTGCCTATTCACTCTCCCATGTAGCCAAAGTTGTGTTGGGAGATCAGCTTCTCCCGTGGCCATGCTGTCCATGCTCTTGATGCAGATTCCATGGCCGATCAAGATGAAAATTTGTGCTGAAAAAGACTTAGTTCCGGCGTGGAGGTCATAATTTCAAAAGAGTTGGACCACATTCCCATCTCACAACAGTTCAACGCTCAAACCCAGTGCTCCATGAGAAAACCGTTGAAATTGCATAACATGGCGACAAAGGCCGTGAGATCACGCCATTTTAGAGGCAATATGAGGCCTTCATGCGCACACAAAACTAAAATTGATTGTCATTGATGTGCTCTTGCTTCGTGGCAATTGTCCAAAAAAGAGACATAGCATTCACTGTCAAACAGTGCTTTCGTGGCCGGATGGTTCAAGAGCCTAGCGGCTCCTAGCGGAGCAGGCGGTTGGGTTGGGTGACCTGGTCTGGCATGATCCAGACCACCCAATCTTTTGAAGCGCGTGGGCCAGAAGTTCGAAGCGCTGATGTTGTAGCATCCTCACATGCAGCAAACGATCAGAACGAGGGTTCAAGGGCTTCACAAAAATGCAGAAATGGTACTGATTTCCGAGGTATTGAAGGATGCTTTAGAAAAACTCCGGAGCACAGTCCCGCGAAAACTCAAGGACATTGTCAATGTTTTGAACTAAGACAATTGTACGTGACCGTTTGTGTGTGCAGGAGCTACGCGATAGTGTGGAAGCCGACTTGAAGCAGCGCGGAGTTCAGATATTGATATTGTTTGATAGCTTCAGTGTAAGTGTTGTTCATTGCAAGAAAGTTTGCGTCACAGACTTCCTCAAGGCTGGAAAATCTACCTGCATCTGGAGCTGGCATTGACACAAATGATTTTTTCTTATCCTTCAAGCTGGCATGTGAAGCTGTTGGTTTGACACTAAGGTGGTTGTTTTCCAGTTTTGATCAGTGATCGCATACACATTGTTCTTTAGATGCTTCAGGCTTACCGAAGGTAGTGGTCATTGCTCTTGAGGCTTTGCCCGAGAGGGTTTGCCACTAACTGCTGTACAGTATAGCAGCTTACCAAAAACTGTCAATGGAGAGTGTGTGCGTTAGCCTTGTTTTCAACCGCTGCCAGTCGTGAAAGCAGCCATGCATATAGTGGTGAGGGTAGCTCATCATGCTGAGTCTTGCAATAGTGTTTGGAACAAGTGAGTGAGGGTTCAAATCAGCCTCAAGCGACATCCTATGCAACTCCAGGAAACGAAACCACAACACGTGTGGATTTGCAAATTTGGAGGCAAACACCTAGACTCATCACATCGCACCCATTTTTTTGTACAAACACAGTGATTAAGTTTGGCTATGCGGCTATGTTTAAGTTTTGCTTCCCTATTTTATGATGGAGCTGATTATCTTTACATGTCCAGAAAAATTAATCAAGCACACTCTGTCAGCTTCTGTAGTCTCACAAAAGTTGTGGACTTCAGGCAATCCAGAAGCAAGTCACCTACGGTTTCCTCAGTGGCAAAGGCAGCAGCTGAAACCCTAAACTGTTTTGCACAGCTAGCTTTGTTTGCGGGGGATTTAGAGACGTTACACTTTTCAGGATAGATCAGTAAGTCGCTGTTTTGCCTGGTGGTCCAAAGCAGGCCCTGACCCTTTCAAACCTGAATCCGGACGGCATTTGATCGTCATGTGCTCAATTTCAGAGACATGAGACATGTGCTTACAAGAGCAGCCTTTGTGACTTTATTGCCAAGGACTGTGTGATAGACTCCGTGTGCAATTGTGCGGAGTCTGCAGATGATACAGCCGCATGCTGACAAATGCTCAACTGGAGAACGAGCAGCTGCTTCCAGAAAGCACTTGTAGAGCACCTGTGTGCAGGTCCAAATGCACATGATCAGCACCCTGAACGCGGCTGTTACATCCCAAGTTTGTGAGGCGCTCTCTGAAGTCGAAGAGTCTAGCAACGTTGATTTCTTTCTTATTTTTTTCCTTTGTAAGGGGGGTAGGCCGCTAGTAGAGGTAGGAAGTAGGTAGGTTAGCTAGGTAGGTAGCTAGTAGTAGCTAGGTAGCTACTACCGACAGGACACAGGATAGCTCACGCTTCTTCAAGGAAGCTCCCCCTGCCGCCCTAAAGGCGGCGGAGGAAGCTTCCTTGAAGAAGCGCTCGCACTATTGATTTGGTTCCTATATTTTTAGGGAAACTTACATAAGTTTTCAGGAGCTACTAGTAGCTTGAATCTCACAAATATATACATAAACATTTGCTTGCCAGTTCTTCCGCAGGGAGATCTGGAAGTTCGGTACTGGACAGGTCCTGCAAGGTACATCCTCTTTTATACTTCTTGACATTGGTCTTGGTATATTATATACAGTAGTTATATAGTAATATAGGTATAGTTTCCAGTCTTGGTTGCTGCATTTCCCTTTCTTTGCGCCATTTGTATTCCACTTAAATCTATAAATCTAACGCAGTGCTCATCTGAGGTTAACCAAATCTTGGAACATTTGCGATATGACAGAAATTACAAGTCGGTTCTATGCATTGGCAGTTTCAATTCCAAAAGGCTGTTGTATGAAGAGGTCCATGGCCAAAGCCTGATGCTGGCGGTGGACACGTGCATGAAGCTCTACAGGGTCTCGCCATAGCTTTGCCACAAGAAACGGTATCGAAGCTTTCAAGACCCGGTTGATATCTTGTCTGCCACCAGGATTCTAGAAGCCAGTCCAACCAGAGAATGGCTCAAACAGCCTTGACCCAAATGCTGTCAGCAAGAACCTCAGAACTTCGGCTTTTGCTTGGTCTCGCAGAATCATAGAAGTTTGTATGTATTTCCTTCTGTTCCCGGCTTTGGACCTTTCAGTTGAGGTCATTACCCAAAGGATGGAGTTGAGTTCGGCGGACATGCTGGAACTCCAGTTTCAAGGATTTGTATGGTCAAACAAAAGTTGCCATGCATGTAACCTTTCATGAACATGCACACCTCAGGTCCAGTCGGGCAGATGAAGCCTGGTCTGGCTCTCGGCAGCCACTGGGTTTGCAATTCAGCGGGTTCGCTGAGTAAGGTTCTTGTTTTCAAAAATGCACTGTTTCCAGTAGCACGGAGAAGCTGAGTCCATTTCCCGAACCCGGCAGAGTAATGTGAGATTCCTATTGGTAAGAGGGCCATTCAATTTGTTTCGATTTAAAGGTTCTCTGGTCATCTTGGAGTTATGTCTTCTTCACTTTCTCTCCTGTTTGTTTCTTTCCTTTCCCTTTCATATTTTTCATTTTGCATCGTTTCTGGTCATTCTCCTTTCATGTTGATTTCAGCTTGTGTGGTTTTATAACTTTATAACTAGGACTCTGTTCAAGCTTTACTGCTGTCTCTGATAAACAGGGTTCTGCAGCCTGTATTGCGCCCTTAATTGATACATGTGTATGTATGCACACATACAGTAGTCATAAACATCGATGTATCATTTGCATGGCGTGGTAACATACTTTGCAGACATAGTTGCCACCATAGTAAGATTGCAGAGTAAGCGTCGAGAGCGTGGCTACTGATCTTACTGGCACAGCTGCAGCTTTAAGGCCATGGGGTAAGTAAGCTGAGTATATATGTATATATAACGATTAGATTAGTTGTATGATCAACAAAGTGGTTGACGACGACACGAAACCATGGGCAAGTCCACAGTGTTTGAGTGTTTGAGTGTGGCGGTTGTAGTGAATTCCTTAGCAAGGCATGGTGCGGCCACCTCCGAACAACTGGCAGCCGTGGTGGCAGCGGCACCGCCTGCTTTTGTCCCAGCCTCAGAGTGCTTTCATAAGAAAATAGAGATGAACAAAACAGAAGGTTTTTGCCTCCCCCCAAAAATAGAACATATTTTGTTTCTAGTAGCAAGGGGTAAATGAGTCCCACATGAGCCTGACAGTCTCGAGGCAGTCCTGTTTGTCTAGGTGAATGCAAATGCAGATTTGTCTCAGATGCCGAAAGGTCCGGTGGGCGATTTCGCTAGCAGGCCACATAAAGCCATGAAATTCGGAAAATGACCTTTCTTCCTTTAGCGATAGGCTGTAAGAACTAGCTGGTGGCTTAAGTAAGCTACTACCTGGGACGCAGGATAGCTCACGCTTCTTCCAGAAAGCTCCCCCCCGCCCTAAAGGCGGCGGGGGGGAGGTTCCTTGAAGAAGTGCTCGCACTATTCATTTGGTTCCTAGATCTTTAGCCAGGGCAACTGCTGAACGAATGGATGTCGTCGTATCTCAATGCCAAGATTGACAAGCTGGCCTTGAGCCCAGCTTCACACACCTGCTTGTTGGCTATTGCTGTTTACGCCTGCTTAGATTTGGAATGGAAGCGGCGAGAATGGCTTGAAAGGGGAGGTGAAACTGTTTGGCTGCAGACTTGCACATCCCAAACTATGACTGCTATTATATACAAACACAACATTTTAGTAACAAGCAATGCATTTTGTTGAACTATTATATACCTAGTATAATGGAGTGCTGCATGTGACTGAGTTTTGCAGGCACCGCCTGGAAAGTTTGGATGGTGCGTGCCATTCCTCAACAGTTGTTTGGACATTTTGGTCTTTCTAACAAGACAGTTGGAGGACCTCACACTGACAGCTGTTTTTTGCTCGATAGTAGATAGCCTTACTAACACCACAGCCATGATCACACTTCAGGTAGTTTGCCGGGCAGCAGCAAACCACTACTGTGTCGACACTCGCGATTCAGTTTGTGGGCATGCCTGCAAATACAGAAATCTGGAACGCTTGTCCCTTGTGGAAAAGTACTATGGCAAGAGAGATGAGGCACAGAGTTGTTTGCTGTATCCAATCATCTTGTTCATTGTGGTCTGTAAGTTCGTTGCACTTTGGAACTACCAGTTTTGAAGAATGATGTGTGTATTTACTGTATAAATACACATATACAGATGTCCAATTTTTTTGATATCACTACCAGGAAAAAGGGACTTGATGTCAGGCAGTGAACATGAGTTCTCCTTCAGCAGCTTGGTCCCAAGCATTTTTCACTTTTGTCCGGATTTCCAAGAGACAATTTGCTCCAGTGTGAGCTTCTTCTAAAATGCGTACTGCCATAGATGAGATGTATGCACTTCTCCTAGCAAGGTCTCTTCGTCGCCAGCAGCTATAGTGTCGCAATCCTCTAGGGATGCAGTTACACAGAGAGATGAGGCTTGTTGCGATGTTGTTTTAAAACCTTTACTTCATGTTGAGGAGTTTTGAGAGTCTGTTACGGATGCTTGACATCCCGCAGCTACTAATAGTTGCTATACAACAGGTATCATCTGCAATGGCAGACGTGGCTGAATCTCCAAATATTTACCACCAGGCCTGAGCTGAGTCAAACCGTTTTCACTGCAACTAGATTGCTTAGATGAATTAGCATGGAGATTTGGAGTTTATATATCAATCAATTCTACTGGTGCCTGCCTTTCGAAGGATGCAATAATAATACTTACCTACCTCATCAACAGCAGTGCCAAGGCATGGTCTTCTTTTGGAAACGCATCTTTGATACGTCAACATCATGAGCTTTTTTGTTTATTTTTCTCCTTCACTTCAAATTCCAGCATACAATAGAAAGAAGTGTTGCTGAAGACAAACAGCAGTTGACGACTCAGTTGTTGACTCAGTTGCCGACAGGAAGTGCCACAGAATCAGCCTGACTCAAGAGGTATCAGGACTGTTGTGGGTTTCCCCGAGGGAAGGAAGGGCTAGTGACAGCTAGTGGCTGCACATGCTGGACCTCAACCGAACCGAGCTGCAAGGAACAAGCGAATTGCCCTCGAGCTCGTCCTTGGTGTGCTGTCCAATTCGGGCCCTGTTTTCAGGCGGTGCCATGATGTCGCCTTTCTTTGCTTCAGATTGTTTGAGGTCCGGTTTGTCTTGTTTCCTCTTCTCTTTGCATGTAGGTCTTCCAGACACTTTGTGGACATGCTCAAAAAGCTTGTCGGTGCTTTTTGGCGGCAGAGACGATGGGTTCGTTGGTGTCTTCAATGTGCTTCGTGAGCTGAACTCGCAAAGCTTTGAGTATTCAGGATTCGCTGATCAAGAACAGCGTCTCGCCAATTCCAAAGATTTTTTGTCTTTCCCTACAAATCTTTGTGTGCAGCTAAGCTAGCTCAGATCACAACAGTCACTGAGGCTTGCAGCTTTCATGCAAGTCTTCATCAGTCTGCATTTAAACAAAGGTCTCGCTCATCACCAACTTCAAGGAACATTTGAGAGACGAGATTGGTGTTTCGTGCTCAGATAACTTGCACCTTCATATAATATCGTGCGAAGAGCAAAGATTGAGGTCTTCATCGAACAGATCTTCTTGAGGATACTTGAAAGTGGCAATTCCGACTTCTTGCACAAAAGCCGAGTTTTGGTCCCAGCTTTTCTGGCACCAGCGACCAGCTGCACGCTGGGTCAATCACATTCAGGTCCTTCAAATTTTCTACAAACTCTGCACGGATGCGTTGCACCCTTACGTGTGAACCATATGCTTGTTTGATAGTTTGCACTTCTCCGGCTTGAGCATGGAAAAGTAAGGACAACACCTTTGGAGCTTTTTCTGAACTATGACTGTGACGTTGATGAAAAAAATATTTTTGACGGGTCCTCAAGAGCTCAGTGCAAGACAGCGCGAGAGAGAGAGGGAGAGAGAGAGGGGGAGAAGAGAGAGAGATAGATAGATAGATAGGTAGATAGATAGATAGATAGATAGATAGAACAAGACAATGTTTTTCTTGGGTGTGGTGATTGCTGTCAGATTGAACTCAGCTGTTTGTGTGTTCCAAAGGTGTGGTTGCCTCCTGAGGAAAGAACAATTGACTGCTTGTCGAAGATAGCCCAAGGAAAATACACTGCAGTGGCTAACTCAGGTTCTGGATTAGACTAGACCTACGGATAGAATGCAATTAAAATCATCCACTTTCAGACAATGCAACTTCAGGTGGAGCACGCGAATCTAATTCAGCCACATCAGGCTGGCATAGCCAGATCTTCCAGACACACCTTGCTTGTCATTGAAGAGATTTCTGTCAGATGTCTTTATCTTGAGGAGTTGGATCTGATGGATCTTAATCGACCCTGTTTTCTTCGAAATGTGGCAGGTCAAACATGTTTAAAGAGTGAGCACTGCAAACTGGAAGGAGCAGGAGTTGAAGCAGCTGGCCCTGCAATCTTTAGCGCTGCTCTTGGAGGGCAGATCTTGCAAGAGAATCTGCGGACCCACAAACACACACTCAGGATAAAAAATACGTACGATGTGAAAGCCTCATGCCACATGCCGACCTAGGTATGAAACCTAAGAGTTCAGGGGTATGAAATTTCATACTAGGAGTCCCAGAACACCAAGCGTGAGGTACGCCAAGTTGATCAGACTCGATATCCAGTGATTGTGGTAGCTTCGTTGAGCACGGTCCCACAATCATGCTGCAAATCCCTGCTATCAGTAAAGCCAAAAGGCTACCTGTCACTTCCAGGTGTACACACACACACACGCCTCAAGTGATGGGAGGCAAACTTAAGGGCACGTGTGCATGCTAGAAAGACCGTGAAAGACATGAAGGAAAGACATGAAACAGACGTAAAAGGTAGGTGCTTCCGACGAAGAGCAGCCAAATGAACAGGGACAGCCGGCGAGCCAGACCTCCTTATGAAGACCTGGGGCACCTACCACCTGGTCAAATTGTAATTGTGCACGTCCTCACACTAAGGGCCAGACCAGTGTGCACGCAAAAGAAAGGGATGAAACTACTAGACATGAAGGCAGAAAAAGCATGAAAGAAAAGAAGAAACGAAGGTGTACGGTGTATGGAGGCAGATGAATGTGAAGCCCGATGAAGAGGGAAAAACAAGACCAAGCCAAACCTCATTGAAACAAACCTGGGGAAACTCGCCTCGTTTGTGTGTGTGTGAAACGGTATGCACGATAAGGGCGACACTGGGATCCAATGATCCCTATGGCGTAAGGCCGCTGCGGCCACCTTCAGCTGTGTCCAAGGGACTGGCACCTCCGCAGAGCACGTTTCGGTCTACCTGCTCCATGGTTCCCGAGTCATCAGGTCCTAGTTGACGTTTGTTTCAAAGCTCTTCGCCCGTTTTGGGCACGTGAGCGAGACAAACTCCTGTTCAACACGGCCACGGAGGGCATTGGTCGGGCTGGCACAAAGCCAGACTAAAAGTACGTACGATGTGAAGGCCTCATGCCCATGCCGACCTACGTATTAAACCTAAGAGTTCAGGGGATGAAAGCCGAAGAGTCCCAGAATACCAAGCGGAGAGGCGTCTGACGAAAGTGAAAACTTCAAATCCTCCAGTTCAAGCCGACTGGAATCATCCAATCCTGCAGCAGCCTGAAGATCTCTACGATTGGAGTGTGGCTAACACACTCACAACTCAGGTGCAGGTACGCCGAGTTGATCAGACTCGTTATTGATTGTGGTAGCTCCGTCATCCCACAATCATGCCGCACACCCCTGCTATCAATCAGGCCAAAAGGCTACCTGTGACTGCAATGTGTACACACACACACGCACGGAATTGCGCATGCACACGTATTAGTTTCTAGTTTTCGCGCTTGTTGTGAGCGAGGTCACATTGATGGGATCTATCGTTGACTGGGTCTGACTCTCTGTAATCTCTCAATTTGCGTGCTTCCTTGGTTGATCATCAACAACAGCCGAGAGATACGCTCACCAGGCTCGGAGAATGACAGAGGCTGCTGCGATGAAGTGGGTGGGTAAACAACAGAACAATAATTTTGAATACAAAGGTTGGTTTCAACCATGCAACAGCCGCGATTGTTAATTTCTTTCTTTTGTATTCTTTTGTCATGTTCAGTGCAGGATCAAAAGCCCGTATCAATCCTTGGCCATACAGAGGAGCTACCCGTATTTATTTGGATCTCCAGGTGCCACACTGAATTTGCCAGGAGAACCGCCCAGCAGCTGGAGAAAGTGATGCTGAGGATGTGTTTGCTTTGTTCTTGCCTTGTTGATATCCTTTGCAGAGAAGGATTTAATGTGTGGAAATTGTTTTGTACCATTTTGAAAGAGTCTTCAACAGGATGATGCATTTGCTCCTTCAGGATGATGCAAGCGACGTTGCAGTCTCCACAAGTGGTGCAACCCTTCCGGTTGCCTGGGCAAGTGTGCTTAACCTTTTCAAACACAACTATTTTGTCATCTCAGCAATTCACCGGACAAACCTTACATTGCTAAGAAGGTCTCACTTGGGAGTCTTCCGGCCAAGTAGCCATGTCTCTATCAGGCTGTTAAGCGTCAAGCTCGTAGAGAAAGATCAACTTTCGATCTTCGTACTATGTGAAGCTGCTTGTGAATCAGACTGGAGGCGAAAACAAATGCCTTGTTCCTCAATGCCAGGTTGCGCAACTGAGCAGCTTCAAAGAGCAAAAACAACGCAAAGTTGAGCTTCAGATTGGTATAAACAAGCGTTTGCCTCAGTGCATTTTTTTTTGTATCGTTTGGTGTTTGGACGCTCTCTCTATGTACTGCTAATCAGTTATTGCATCAACCAATTGCAAAAGTTCTTTGCACAGATGGCTGCAAGGTTCAATATGAAGCCCAAACGTGGCATTGAATACCTGAAGCAAAATGGTTTTGTGTCGGTCTTAGTTTTCTTGAGTGCAACACATTTGTGCACCTATGAAAGGTGTGAGCAAGTGTTTGTCCTGGTATCGCTTTGGATTGTTATGCATTAAGCTTCAATCTGATGGTGGCCTCAGTTGAACGATGATCCGTCATCATTGGCAGCGCTCTTCAAGAATACAGAGCTTGGTCACATCCTCACAATTTTGACCGCTGGAGTTGGGATACAATTCAAGATCTTTTGCGGGTTGACAACACAAATGCTAGCAAAACTCACCAAATACTTTTCATCAAGATCACCTCCATAATCGTTTTGCAAAGTAGTACTCAGTCAAACTCCACACTTTTGAGGCCTTGACAAGACGGCCATTGGTGACTACCTTGGTGAGGAAAGTCTGAAGTCACTGCAGATTGGTGTGCAACAAGCTCCGCCCAATCAACAATCAGAGTGCCAGGACAAGCCGTTCAACAAGAGCACGCTGCACGCATTGGTTGGTGGTTTGGACTTCAAGGAGCAGGCATGCTTCCAACTTTTGGTTGGTGGCAAGGATCTCAAGTACAGTTCTTTTTACTAGTATCTCTTGCTATACTTACTGTGAGTCCCTGGATGGATCTTTGCGGCACTTCCTGTCCTTCTTCCGCCTTCCCGGCGAGGCCTTTGTGCAGTTTTCCGCACAAGTTCACAAGTGCAAAAATACAAGTACATCTTTCATTATATATATATATATTATATTACATATGTCCCCTATTCCATTGTAATATATGCACATTGTTTGTTTCAGTTGTTCCTATTGTCTCCCATCATATCATCATATTTTGGGTGCTGTGATATCCACGACAACACAACAAAATGCTGGACGATCTGCATGAATTGGTAGAGCTTGCGCCGCGCCTGGTCAGAGGCAACATAAAATCGCAGCTACTTGGAGACTATAGCAGTGGAAAGACTTCTGGAAGGATCTGCGATCACAAAAACCCCAAGTATGACACACAATTGACATTGTGGACCTGGCATTTTCCTGGCTTGTCATACAATTCATGTACTCCCTTTGGGTCCTTTGAATAGGACTTGTGCGATCCAAAGCTGAAGGTTACTAGAGCTACTGCTGTCTGGAGACAAAAAGAGCTGGGAAACACACTGCCACAAATCAGCAAAATCATTTTCCGTTCGGCCGGGAAGAATCAAAGTGCAAAGCCCCTTGCGCTTGTGAAGCACCTGGGTCTTCAAACAAAGTACATATGTGTTTTGAGTACCCAGAGTGAAATTAAAAGCATGCAGAGCTCACCCTCCTTGGGCCCCCTAAAACACAGGGGTGGGTGTTACAAGATATTGCACATGTGTATTTATGAATGATCATATAATGTGTACAGCAAGTATCATTACGACAACAGAACAATGTCCGTGGCAGAACACTTATCTAAGTCTATTTTGCGCGCAGCTCTCAGGCACAGAAGATTGACCGTATGATGGAGAAGTTTGCTGAGAAGTATTGCAATGACAATCCGGAGCGCTTTGCCAATGCAGATTGTGCTTTTGTGCCTCGGTGTTCCTTCAATAGATGATGAAAGCAGATGCTGCCAAAGCAAAACAACCTTGGAGACCGAGGTGTTGTCATTCTCACTGATCATGCTTCAGACGGACCTGCACAATCCAGGCAAGAACAATAAGCAACGTAAAGACAGAGAATAAAGAGGACGTAGGGGCCCAATGCTCAAAAACATGTTTCACCGTGAACATTAGGCGGTTGTCTATCACCATCACATGCAATGCCGCACAGTACTTGTATCATATAGCAGCCAGAGCAAACAAGCAAGGCCAATTGCATGTCATGTATCAGCTGTTTTGGGCACCTCATGTGTTTTGCCGCCCGAAGGCATCAGGAACAAAATGACCAGAGATGAGTTCGTGAAGAACAATCGTGGCATCAATGACAACCAGGATTTTTAGTAGCTCACCTCGCCGTTGTGGAGTTATGACACCTTGACGTCGCTGTGGTTGCAAAGGACTTGCCCCGGGAGTACCTCGAAAGTCTCTATGATGGTGCGCCGAACCAATATTATCGGTCCTGGTGGATTCGTTTTGCTGGCGAGAATGTTTTAGACAGTTATCAGGCTGGGTTGAAAGGCGTCTCCTGCACCAGATTAGACTTGGGGATACTTGGGGTTTTCGCAAGTTTGGATATCATTTTTGATATCATCGTGGAGTAGGGTTTTGAAGGTTCAGGATCTGGGCCAAAGACGGTTTGAGTCCAGAATGCGTCTTGACAATTGCCTAGTTCAAGCTCCTTATGCATGGTCAGCTGACCAAACAATCAAGTTGGGCACTGCAAGCACTTATTGTTTCATTAGTTGCCCCAAGGTTACCAACTGGCTTGGGTTTCACCTCTAATGACATAGTATGAGCTGCTTCATGTGATACTAGGTTACTAGATCCCGTTTGGGTTGTTGTATAGAATTGCAGTTTTTGCTGAGATCGCAGTAGTTCCTACAACTAAGAAGCACATACAATTTGAACCTGCTTGGAACCTGTGGAAAAGAGGTTATGTTTCCTTAATGCATTTAATTAGCCAAAATGCCTTGCCATTTTGGCTCAAGTCCGCATTCAAGTGAAAAACGTGTTCCCTCCGCCCTCCTAACTCCCTCTCTCACTCTCTCACTCTCTCACTCTCTCTCGCTCTCTCTCTCTCTCTCTGTGATCGCCATGGCATTTGCTGGGTTTGGTTTGGCCCACTAAGGAAGAACTGAGGACAGCCTATGAAGATCTCGAACCGCCCAAGGGCCGATCCAACTACGCCTCGGCTGAGGACTGCAGCCTGGCATGGCCCTGGGCCCTTTGAAGCAGAGGAGGCAGCTACTTTGTGTGGCTGTGCTGTTGCGGCAATTGATGAAGGTGAAAAGGTCCGGACCATGTACGATGGCTCTGGGGAGGGGCCAAAGGTTGGATCCAACAAAACACAACACAGAAGACAACGGCACCCACTGTCATGGACTGCGTCCATGCCCTGCACTCGCTTCAAGCTGCCGCTCGACTGGACCCTGTCCCACTGCAACCCCCCCCCAGCCGGCACAGATGCCTTGGGCTCTGAAATGCCACTACGGGGAGCTGACACGAAGGGCCAGTGGACTGAGGATTTGGTCAATCCTCAAGGCGGTTGCCACCAAGGCCCATCGACGGATTAACATCCTCCCCAAAGACGTAGTACTATCTCTTCAATGGTGGATTGGACCTTTGTCTTTGTGGATGGGTTGTGCTGGCTCCTCAGACCCACCCTGGCCCCCCCTCTACACCTGTGCCCCGTTGGCAACACTGCTGGCGCACACTCTTAGGGCCGATCAATACTTGGCTGTGCTTCGTGATCCGATCGGAAGGGCCTATCGGAGAAGCGCGCTGGGCTATGCTGATTCTTGACTGGATGACTCAGGGGGCGATTTCACAGTCGAGAGTGCCACGGGTAGAAAATGGACTACCGCAGCCTGCCCCTTGGCAAAACCACAGCCATTGTGGCAATGAGGTTGGTCCGCACATTCGCAAAGCTCATTTCCATCCTATTGGGGGGCCACTTTGTACAGCCAGCGCCCTATTCCCACCCTTCGGCCTGGCATGGTGCTTGTGATGGCAGTGCAGGGAGTCCGGGAGCAATGTGGGACCCGTCCAAAGAGGACGTATATGGCCCTTCAGAGGCATGTGCGGGCTTTGAAATCGACGCCAGGGGCCAATAGCCCTGCCCTCTGAGATGCTTGTATCTCTTCTCATGTTGAGGGGCGAAAAGAACCGGCTGCGCATCCCTCTTGATTAATAACCCGCCCATTCGAATTGGAAAATCTTTTTCATATGGGGGGTGTATCAATCTAGAGTCTACATTATTCCTTCGATCTCCAACAACCAGGGCAACATCTTTGCAATGTTGAACTTCCCTCCACCAAGGAGGCTGCCAATTGGCTCCTTCACATGTGAAGAGGGATTACGACACCTGGACGGATGAACTTACTCATTCCAACCCTACAGGCTTCACACCCCTCAAAGAGGCTCAAGGTTTCGAAGGCCAAGCTCACGCACTCGGCGCTCGAGCTCTGCTTTCAACCGCTGCCCCCTTGGGCTGGGCATGGGGGCTCCTCAGCGCTTCCGACATTCCGGGACAGGCAGGCCCCTTCGGCCCTCAAATCCATCCTGGGCTATGGGACTTTCCACCATGGCTTGAATCTACGACGCTGTGGACAGGCGCTGCTGCGGAGCTGCGCTGCTTCTGCACTTTGTGACCTACCTCTGAGAAGCTTCCCTGCGAAATCATGGACCGTTCTCAGGGTGCCCGGTGTCCGACTTCTCTTTCGGTTTCACACAGGACTAGGTTGGGTGGCGTTTCAGGGTACCATCCCAGTCCTGTTTTCTTTCACCAAAGATTTCAACCCAAGAGAACCTAACCAACCAGCAACAGACTGCGAGTGTGCGCTTTGCTGTTGGATGCTTAAGGAAACACACAAGCTTTCAACATGCAGTATCAACTGTTAAAAAAATATATACATACACAGTATGGACTCGCGCACTTTTGGAAGTCTTGTCACCTGATGTTCACACCAAAGTTGCCCAGGTGTCGCGCAAAACCCAATTTCACTTCAGGAGGACCAGGAGGCGCTTAGGATTAGAGTTTGAAGAAATCAGAAAACATCTTTTCTCCTGCCCCTGCTACTTTCAAAGGCACGCTATCGAAAACTTGAGTTGTGTAGGAGTTTTCAAGGGTTTTTCCCAAAGGCTTTACACTGCTTGTCGCAGCAAGGCCAGAAATCGACAAGAGTCACAAGCAGCGAGAGATCTCAACCAGAAGCTATGCTCTCAGTAGTACTCTGACATCAATGAGAGAGGGCTCTTGTGATCGATTCATAGAGTTCTCCTGATTGATTAATATTGTTTTCTTGTGAATTGAAGTGGCAGGTATGAGTTGTTCGTCAAGGAGACAGAAACTATGGTTCAGAAGACGAAGGCCATCCTTTCTTGGCAACCGTTGCAAACATCAATACATGTGTAGGTCAACAGGACAATTGTAAAATGCAGGCAGAAGTCTCCCTACTGGCACAGGCAGCCATGCAGAGCCGAAGACGAAGTTCTGCTTACGTGGTGGCCCAAAGCATCAGCCTCAGCAACATTTTTTGAGTTCGCAAGGACCAGCTTCGATGGCCACTGAATAAGATCTTTCTTTTTTCTGCGACAGAACTGCATGTATAGCAAGTCCAATTGGTACTCACCTGTTTTGTGGCTGCTGCGTGACCATGGGCACCAGAACTGCAAGTCACACCATGAGGACTATGGGGGCCAACTGCGACTAGGTGTAGGCAACATGAAATCAAAAAGCTTTCTTCCACGTTGCCACGGCCCACCAAAGGCCACCAATGGTGTCGAAACAAGAACCTCATTGGCTGGCACATTTATTTTCACCGTTCCTTTGCAACTAGATATATGGGGTTGAACACCAGACATGGTTCTGTTGATCATGCCTGACAGTCCGACATGTTCACCTAGTGATTGTAGGAGTCCACATATCATGCTGTACTTTGAAACAAAACAGTAAATGCTTCTTCATGCTAATTGCAGATAGAGTCTTGAAAATAGGACAGATCGCAGCAAACGCACAGCTGCAGCAACCACCATGGAAACCAAGAAATCGGATGATGAGAACGGTTTGGCAAACAGTTCAAGTCTTTTCCGGACATGCAACTGGTCTAGGCTGTGTAGCTCCTTTGCTCCTTGCACATTGCTAGTGCTTGTTCTGGCAGTTTTCTTTGGTCCATTGGTCTGAGCTCGTGATGATATGCATCGGAATGTGATTGGGAGCGGCTCAGCTCGAACGAGTAAAATCGTCGATGTGGTGATCAGCAGCCAGTCGCGAGCCAACGCTTATCAACATGCAGGAGTCTCCTTCCTCGCATTTGGGTTGGAGGCCGTCGCTCTTAGGAGGAGGCCATTCCTCTTAGGTTGGAGGCCATTGCTAGTAGTAACTCAAAGTCGTATTGTTTTTTGAACTTCCTTAATGGACTAATGGACGCTCCGTCCTCTTTTTCACTCCTTCCGATTTTTGATGTCGTGCTGTTTGCGGTCTGGTGGAAGTGGAGTCAGGCACATGCATTTTGGAGACAGGGGCCAGCATGCACCTAACAACATGATGCAAAGCTACTAATGATTGAGGTAGAGAATACGGCACACTTCGTAGCCTTCTCACCACGTTGAATGTCGATATCAATCTGGTGAATTTGAAGTCTATGCAATCGCCATGGGTACCCGATCTTATCCTAGCTGGCCACCTGGCTGGTGCACTGAATCCGAGAAGACAACGTGGAGTGGGCGACAGCAACAAAGTCCATGCAGAGACAAATAGACAAAGGATGAGAGACAGGAATGGGCACACCAACCACACCAACCAGCCAATTGGCCCCGATGACAGACAGAGCAGACAAGCACTCCTAAAGACCCAACCTCAATTTGGCACGGACCAGGACCCAGAACCTTGATTTGGGCAGTATGCAAAATAGACAAGGTCGAGGCAGCAAAGCCCCAATACCGAAATAGTTGAACATGAACCTGAACATGAACATCAAATGCCAACAGGCTTGTGTGCACTGGTTGTTGACATTCAGGGATGGTCCACAAGCCCTTGTATTGGTGATGAGCGTTTTTGACCTATTCAGCTGGTGTTGCAGGAGTCCACACATGCCTGTACTGCAAAAAGAAGCATGTGAATTGACTGCTACATCAACCGCCATGGAAGCCTAGGAATGGGATGGAAAACTGGCCAACACTTCAAACACACTATAAGACATTCTGGGACATTCTGTTGGGAAAAGTCCTGACACACCCACTTTCACAGCCAGTGCTGAGGGTCTTCGTAGATGACACTTCTGATAAGTTTGCCCGAGCTCAAGGACTGGATCGACAGACAAAGATCCCGAATTTGGTGCATTCATTTTCATGCTTTGGCACACACGCGCGTGCGCGCTCCATTGACTGCGACTTGAAGTTGCCACCAGGTAAAGTAAAACGTACCCACTCATGAACATGTGTGAGACAGCATGCGAGATCATCAACCCCTTCAAACTTGCGCAGACTGAGCCTGCGTTTCAGAGCTGTTCGCAGTTAACCCTTGTACTTTGCAGTGACAGCTTCCTGGAGAGATTCTCTTGAGGTGTCGAGCACGTAAGACCCCTTTTTGAGGTGGGCCAGCTGGGCGAGAGCAGCTTCTTGGATCACACTTGTGCAGTCCACTTTGTCGTCTCGCAAACGTAGGTGGCATGTTGGCCTTATTTGGCCACTTTGGCAGTTCTTCTAGAAATGCAGGCCCGAATCCGATCGACTGTGTATTTTTTGAATGTGTCTGACCTGTTCGTAACCAGCAAGTTGCAAGCCGAAGTGTGGGGACATGCAGTCCAGAATCAAGGAAGATGTTGACAACATCGAACTGGACTGACTGTCAGCTTTGGAGCACAACGTTTGTTATTGTATATTTCGCTTGTAAACAGAATGTTTTTGACCAAGAGAGCGTGGGTAAGATAGTTGCCGGCTCCGAGTTGATGACGGCACACAAATGCAGCATGAAATGATGTCAAACGCTGCTGCTCATGACCAATGATGGAAGGACTCACCACAAAGCATCGAGCTTTGCATCGAAGGTTTCAAGCATTGCATCAGGCCAAGATCTGAGTCTTCTGTAGACAGCCTTTGCAGCGAGAAGAAAGCATCAATGCTTTCATGGCGGCTTGATGGCGACTTCATGGTTTCAGGATCGCAGCTCGATTCGATATGGACACCGAGCGCAATGCCTTTGTTTCATCCCTGGCCAAGTTCACATACTTGACAACCATCAAGGAGTCAATAGCACGGGCGTCATAGGTGAGGGTCGACTTGGTTTGGACGGCGAATTGGCAGGAAATGAAGCAAAAGAACATTGAATGCATCAAGGTGCGGCTTTTTCTTTTCTTACGGGTATTCAATGAAAGCAATATGGAACAAGTGGGACACTGGTCCACCTTCATCCGGTCTGGCGGACGTCCATTCGCTGGCATGTCAAATATTCAAAAAAAAGAGAAGAAGGGTCCCAAAAATCTAGGAACCAACCAATCATGCAAAGAGTTCAGAAGAATCATGAGCTTTGCTGTGTCAAATCCTAAATATGTAACTTCCTGTCGCCGTTAGCTCCTTAAGTTAAGCTACTTAAGCTACCTGACCCAAGCTCGCCTCCCTGCCCCTTTTTTTCACCAGTCTAATGCTTTTCGGCCAATTGAATGAATCTCTTGCAGGCTTTGTTATCGATTGGGCTGTCTGAGGGCAACAACTTAGGACCGTCTTGGTTGTACGCTGAAGGCTCAGCACATATGGTGGATATATTTTGTTTGCATTTCCAGCGCCTGTTCACCTGTTCTATTGAGAAAATGCTCAGGTGCTGCACTGTATTTCTCAGCTTGAGCGGCTACAACTCATTGGCACCAGAGGTGCCAGGTGCCAGGGCACTGTTTTCATTTGCATCAATCGTGTTATGATGCATGATTGACATCGAACAGGCAAGACTTTCAGTTCTTTCAGATGGAGGACGAAGTGCAGATCTCAAAGTTGAGGAAGTCAATTCAGATTCCAGATTTGAAGAAGTCAACTTCAGAAATGTTTGGGGTGACCTTCCCTACTTTTATCTACAGACCGAGTTGTGAGGCTTTGTCTCCAGGATCGGCAACCAGGCCACTCAAGCAAATCTGACTCGACCTTGGGAGTTAGTTGAAAGAGCTGGGAGGTCCAATGCGAGCATTGCTGGTCACCAGGCTGGTCATGAAGCGAGGTTCAACGACTCATTGTTTTGCCAATTTCACGAACCTTCTTGACTCAATTCATGTGACAAGGTGGTGAAGCGCCGCGCTCACGGCCTGGGTGTGTTTGCAGCTCAGCACAGGACTTGTTGCTGCCTTTTCTTTCTTGAACGTATCACGAGCTCCTATGCTGCAAGGAAGTTCGGCACTAGGCAACTTTTCAGATACACCCGATGGTATCATGAAAGGTCCGCTTTGGTGGCCATTGGCCAGGATGATCGACAAGTAGAACTGGCAGCGACCCAAAGTTGGTTTATTTCTGCTGTCACTTCGCGTATATAGGCTCTTCAAATTTGCTGAGGTGAACTCTGAGTCAGTGGCTTCTCAGATAGATGCGGCCCAAATTGAGTTGCTTTTCAACAAGCCGCTGCCTAAGCTGGGAAAGAACGAAAGGCAGGAAAAATACAGGTCAAAGGGAAAAGACAAATGAAAACACAAACAAGATTCAGAAAGAGAAAAAGGATTTGTCACCATCAGTATACTCCAGGCAAAAACCTCATAGAGGTGACCGATGTTCTGCCATTCAAACAAACCTGCAAAATAAAGGAGGCCTGACGCCTGCAACTATGAAGTGCGATTGGCCCATGTTACTGTAATTGCCCGCGAGCCAATTGCCAGTCATCACTAGCAGGTCGATGCAGCTTCAATTCAATCTGTGAAAACCACAAGGTAAAGGCTTGCACAAAACTCAAGGCTCAAGAGTGTCATAAGGTGCTTGAGAAATACAAGAGGCTGAGATATTAACACGGCTGAAGATTTGCCGTCGCCCTCGAGGAGACCGGCTGGTTTCCAGTGGAGTGATTAGACGAATAAAAGCAGGTGCCGATCATGCAGTGGGGTCTCAGGAGGCCATCGCTAGTAGGTTGGAGGCCATCGCTATTAGGTGCTAAAGCTGACCTGTGACTCCAAGGATTTCACACACTCAAGATGAAGTACGTACGGTCTGACTTCCCAAAATGCAGCGGTGTCCAAACAAGGAATCAAGTTCCAAAAACAGGTCCGTGAGTTGAAAACTCACCAGCAAAGCTCACATGCCAATTCTGCATGCTCAATGGCAAGTCCGAAGTCTCACCTAAACAAATTTGGTCACTTAGAGGAAAATGTTGCTAGCAAACATCACAACCAACTCGTTAAATGCAGGTGCAAGAGTTGGTGCCCGATTATCATCCAACTGATTCACTTTCGTTGGCACGGATAGGGAATCAGTCTCCGTGCCGTGCTGAATCTAACAGAACCCGAAGCTACCCATGAGCCCAAGAAGTGCACTCACACACATGCTCACCCTTGCGGAAATTGGTCTAGCATTCTTTTTATTTTGCCTGTTGTGAGCTGGAAGGTCAACTCAGCTCACACCACAAGCTGTGGTACATTTCGTGACTCAATTGGCAAAGGCAGGCTGTGTAGCAGTAGCAGTCTGCAGAGCTTGTGCTTTCATACAACGCCAGGTCTCCAAAGAAGAGCTTGCACTAGCGGATCAGCCACGAATCTTTTCTCTACAAAAACTAGTTGAGGTGGAACAGAGAAAACAATGGTTGTTTCAGAACTCTGACCGTAGCCGAATGTGCACAGTGTCTCAATGGTGTTCACAGGTCGCTGACTTCAACATGAGCCGGATGAGAGTTGTATGGACGAAGATTTGGCGAGTACTCAGCAGCCACTTTGTTGAGGCTGGGCTTTGCAGAACACTTCATGAGCAAAATGGCCTTCCATAACCTCAATGGCCCTTCAAGTTTGCATCAGGTGGCGACTCACCCGAACGTCCGGGTTTCCCACTACGCAACTTAGCTGATGCAATTTGCAATTTTTGAAAGCTTGGAGCACGCTCCACAAGTGGGTAACTCTTCAACATGTCGAGGCCATGGATTCATTGCGACAGCTTACCATGAAGTTTCTGGAGAAAGACGAGTTAGCTGGATACAACTTTCAGGCAGCTCCTACGCTCCTCCGCATATGACAAAGGTAGCTGCGGCATTGAGATACGAAGTAAAATAGAACAGACACCGCAGTCAAGCAGGGCACATTGCAATTTCTTGGTAGAATCCATAAGCAACAAGAAGCTGCTAGTTCGGTTAATGTACATCCTTATACAATATATATATATATATATATTATCTCACGAAAAGCCAGCCGATGGGCATGGCTGAGTCCGAACGAAGTCAGCAATACCGGCAGTCGCAGGGCGGCGAGGATCCAAAAGGTAGTGAAAATGTATGTTTTGGGAGGTCTTGGTGATGCGAGTGATGCAAATGACACTGAATAGTGCATCATTAGCATCACGAAGCTCAGAAGAAGGGTGGGAGTCGGGTAGAGGACAGGAGAGGGGAGACTGCGATGAAATGCAACAAACGAGGGCTGACCAGATGTGTGAGTGCAGGGAGGGAGTTGCTTCGGGGTGCCCTTTTGACCGTGAAGAGGCCCCCCCACTGTTGATGTTGGACCTTTGTAGAAGAGCACGGGGCCCAACTCTACCCCATGACCTGTAACAGTGCGAGTTGATCATGGCCTTGTGTATATAGGCTCTATCATACCGAGCCTCAATGCAGCACTTTCCGTCTCTCTGCCTTCTACTTTCCCGTGGCTAGCAACAGCAGAGGTAAGCGCAATTTGTGCTTCACCCCGTAAAGACAAGAATATTTTATTACAGGGGCTGGCTTTCGCCCCCTCTCTTCTCAGGTGTAGATTAGCCTGGCAATTTTTTCATGTCCTCTTTGTCACTCAGCAGTTTTGACAGCCGTTCGTTTAGGAAGCAGAAGGCGGAATCACAAGTGGACAGCCAAGTTGTTAAAACTCACAGCACAAAAAAAGGGTCAAACACAGTTCACAGCTTTCAATTTGGGTTCTCAAAAGGTGCTGCAGTGGCTTTGTTGCCACTTGCCTGTGGGAAACGCTGTGTCACCTGGGCTTATTTGTATGAGCATGGCTGCAGCATGCTACCTTTTGGCAACGTTCTTTCAGAGCAGCTTGGCGGTGGCCATTTGGCTTTTGGCATCGCTGTGTCCTGGACTTGCTGACTTGGAGAAATACCTAGAGCGGTTGCGGTGAACCTGTACAAGCACAGCAGATTCTTGAATGGAATTGCTTGAGGTCCACGCCGGCATGAGTTTGTCCAAGGGTCAATACAATGAATTCGTCCTTGTGAACTCTGTGAAAACTGAAGCCACAACAACCCGCACGTTTCTTGAACGTCTTGATCTCCTCAAACTTGTGTCGCAATGAAAAAACAGTCTCTGGCCCCAGGGTAGGTATGCAACATCAACGAGTAGGCAAAGTGCGCTTCTCAAGTGTGTGCCTTTCAGGTGCTGTCAGAGTGGATGTTGCAGTTTGTGATCTTGATTTGTGATTTTGTAATTTTAGGGTTCAGTGCAATTGTTTGCAAGGAATGGTTGAAGATGTGTTCGCGCGCTTTGTTGTATGTGAGTTGGCGAACAGATGGAAAGAAAGTCATGTGGTTGTCGACATAACATAACTTGTGTTGGTGCCGCTATTCAACAAAACAGGGGGTGATGCTTGGCGCAATAGAGCTGTCTCTCATTCAAGCACTCTTTGCACACCGCAAGACTTGATAGTCGAAGTTGAAACACATCGAGGGCATGCTTCATGCAGAACTTGTTGGTTGATTTGGGGAGGGTGCGAAGCAATCCTTTATATATAAATATAAAGCCATAAAGCTGTTTGGGCAGCCAGAAAGGATAGCACACTCTTAAGTTCCCTTAAAAATCTAGGAACCAATTGAATAGTGCGAGCGCTTCTTCAAGGAAGCTTCCCCCAAAGGCGGCCGGGGGGAGCTTCTTTAAACAAGAAGTGCGAGCTATCCTGCGTCCTAGGTAGTAGCGTTCTTGTAGCTACTAACTACCTATCTACTACCTGAGATCCATGTTCCTTCTTGAGGTTCCCTGTGTTGGGTCCACGGGTGGGATTTGAGTTTTAGTGTCTCTACCGACAAGAGACACGACTTTGGAACGGTTGGATCAGGCTATCGAAAATTGTGAATCACATTTTAAAGAGGTGGTTTGTTATGGCATGTTGGTAAGAGTTGCTGACTCTGCTACACATGTTCTGCGTGGTGCACGCAAGCTTTCGTGCAAATCACCTTCAGCACAGGCTGAGTTCTTGAAACCGTTCGAATGCATCATGGTGCGCCTTAGAAGAAGTCGGATTCATTCAATACCAAAGCGCCATGAACGATGAGCACCTGAGTGGTGTTTAATCTAGGTCTAGATTTATTGAGCAATTCAGGTCGGCCCACCGCCAGTGAGCAGAGAGGTGAAGGACATTTCCTCAGACAACACAAGTATTGCAGATGTGGAAACTAGGTTTGTGTGAGGACTATTTGGTCTACATTATTTCGTACATGGCAGATGCCCGGAACTCACCAGATTTTTACAGCTGTCTGGCTGTCCATGATATGTTTCTGTCAGACTGCCGATGCAGGCAAGTTTTCAAAATATCCGGACCTGGCCTCGATGTCTTTGCAATGTGATCATTCTCTGAATTTCTTTGGGCTTTCAGGTCTGGATGGAAAGCAGTGCTTCACATTTGTGCAGCAGCTGCTCAAGATCCGGCACTCAGCGAGGCCCAGGTCCCCTTCATTTAGTTCGTTCGGTGAGTGTCAGATTTGCACAGGCCACGATTGAGATTGCCTTCAAAGTGGTCGAAAAGGTTCCATCTTTCGTGTGTCTTCGAAGGTTCGAACTGCTCAGTTTTTTGAGGTCAATGCAGACAGCTGCTACCACCTGTTTCTTGAGAATTTTACTGATGGAATCCGCGCTCTGCTATCATTCGCACAGTGCAAGGCCCTACACTCAGTGCAGTTTGATACTGAAAGTCTGCTGCCGTCAACAACACTTTACAATACTTTTTATCTCAAGTTGTACAAAAGGCTCATTTCACAGAAGGATATAGCTGCAATCATGACTGAAAAGCTGCAAGAACTGCTATTTCGTACGTCTCGCACACAGCAAGCTTGATGGAAGAGGGACTGAAATAGTGCAGCCTTTGAGAACCTGGGGCCCTCAGCCCTGTGAGTAAAAACTAGAGAGTCAAGCTTATGACGCTCCAAATTCAAAGTTTATGTGAAGCACTTTGTAATTGTTTTGAAACTTGAGACAAATTAGGTAGAGAAGCGGCCTGGCAAGGAGGCTGGAGTTCCTGACGGCGCGATGGGACAATTACTCGACTCCTTTCACTGGCATGAGGCGAAGCCAGAGATGTCAATGCAAGCGATTTCCTATTTGCTCAAGGTGCCTCGGGCTGCCTTGGATGTCCTTCTCGTCTCAAACAGATTTGAAGAAAGAAATGAATTCGATGCTGTATCACTTGCAAGACGGCTCAGCCTATGTTGCAGGCCGCAGAAAAACTTGCGGACCCGCAAACCGATCTTCCAGCAGGGTGCTCTTTATCACAGGCTCGGCAGATTCGAGAGTAAAGCATGTGCCAAGCTTTTGCACTTCAGGATCCTGCTATTAGTGATGGACAACCCGCGGCTGTTTGGTTGATGCCTGAGCAAGCTTTCGTCCTGACTTCACTGGAGTCAAATTGTCAATTGTGTTTGCCTTGAGGTTCCCCATTTTGCGAGGGCTCTCAATACTTGTTGGCGACCCTCGCCGCGATGCGGCATGCTGAGCTTCCAATAGCCACAATAACTGGATAGTTCAGAATGCCTTGTTCCTAGTTGATTTATGTTTTGTAGAGTCAGCTCAGGCTGACTTAATTTTGAGTGTTGAGCGGATGAGGTGAGAGCTGCGGCGCTCAATGGCGTTTTTGACATTCTCCGTGATTATGGCAAGCAGATTTTTGATGAGGAAGAGTGCACAAAGAGCACAACATGACAACATGTCCATGGCACAGGCTTCATTCAACAGGTTGTGCCTTCGCTGCGGCAATTTTACGGCACCCTTCAGGACATGTGGCGGATGGTATTCAACGGGGTGCCAAACCAAGCTCTTTGAGATGGCCGTGGATACACTGGGATAACTGGTGCTGATGTCATCAGGAGCAGTGTTTGCAGAGGTAACTGAGAACCAGGTTTTCATGCTTCCATTCTCTCAAGGTTTCCTACCTGCACAATTAGATGTTTGCAAAGGAGATGTTGGCCTCCATACGGGCTTAAACTTGATTTGCATGATAGCCTTTACGCTGAACAGATTGTACAAAACCAGTACTTCGAGGTCATCAAGCCCTTGTTCGATGACATTCACCACCAGCTGGCTCCACAGAGTGACCACAAGCAGGACCGTCTTCCAACTGTCTTAAGATTCTGCACTGCCACACCACTCTAAGACTCCAGGAGGGAAATGGTGCAGAGGCTTGGATGCAAAGGGCATGTGGGCTCTTTTGAAGAGCAGTACTGTAGTACCAGAGACGCGCAAGAAATAGATAGATAGACTCGACGTTTTTTCAGAAGTCACGGAAGGGTAGACCATGTAGACTGTAGGTTCTGCAAACTTTTGTGTTATCATCTTCAACATTGTCCATTTCATTAGGTTCAAAAGAACATCACTTGGAAGCACGAAACATGATGAAGCATCATGAAGCATGACAGCATGGCCGAATTGGTGAACACTTTGGCCAGGGCAGACAAGATGGCCATTGGGCCTCAATGGGGCCAAGCCTCCAAGCTTTGTGTGCGAGTGGTGTGTGACCGATTGTGCCGTTGACTTTGGCCCGGCTTGAATTCTTGAGGCCACCAACATGCTTAGCAGCTTTGACCCAGCTTGTCAGGCTGCACACTGTGTTTGTGGTTTGACAAAGCCCCGTTGCAGACAGTTTCCATTGTTTGCCCTTCAGGTTCTTCAATAAGCATTTGCTTGAGCTTTCTTCTCTCCTGTCTCAATGACCATCGTGGCCGCAGACCAATGCTTGACATTCTACCTGCATGTACCGGGCCGCTCGCCTTCTTGCCATTCTTTGGCATTAGCTCTAATATCTCGCATATCCATCGCCCAATTATTTTTCTCCCGCACTTCATCGGCCTAGTTTTCTCAAATTTGTTTGAGAGTTTGCGCTCAGCTCTTCATTTCTCAGTTCCATCATGACCATGGGCCAATTTGTCCTGTTGTGCTGTGTGACACGATTAGACACCGGTGCAGGTTGATTGAAGCTAACCTGGACGTTCTGGCCTTCCTACTTGATGATGTTGGGACCTGATCCAGCTCTTTGGCGTTCTTGTGGAATTTCGGAATACCGATATGAGGTGCTCCGGTTGATCAGAAACTGCATTCAGCACGAATTTGAGGCCGAGTTGTTTCAATCGAAGTGCCATGCTTTGCCTCTTTTGCTCCAGGCAGTTGCACGAATAGGTGTCGAAGGTTTCAAGCAGCTGCTGATATGCACTGGCAAGAACATGAAGCCGAATTCCTGGCAGAAGGCCGAACGCTGTCAATTCAAAGAGTGGTTATTGTAAAGTAAGTTGCCCCGCAAGGTCACGACATGTATTCTGGAGCTCTTCCGGGACAGCATGCCAACAAAGCTGATGGAGGTTGATGTGAAGGCCGCAAGCATTTCAGCAGATGCAAGGCGTCCAAATTTTGTGTCAACCCTGAGACCTGTGAAAGGCCTCGTCGCAACTGCCATTCAACAAAGATGATGTTGTGATCCAGCCCTGCACACAGTCACACTGAGCAGGTGCATTGTATCACTGAATCGAGTGAAACGCTTGAGGTGCGTGGTCCAACTCCTGCTTATCGACATGCTGCAAGATGCTGTCTCACAACATTACGAGTTGGACCCCTAGAGAGAGAGAGAGAGAGCACGCTCAGAACCTTTGAAGGACTCGTGCCCTGCGCCAGAATTTCATGGCTCCTGATATAGACCTTGAACAACTATATAAGCCTCAGAAGAGTTGAATTTTGCAGCTCTAGAACCTTCGCCAGTGACCGAGAAGAGAGGGTTTTGTTGGAACTGTAACTAACCAGTAACTTGAACCCTCCATACCTTTTCTAAGTTCAATCCTTTTCCTCAGGTTAGGGTCTTGTGATTCTATGTCAGTGTTCTCCTCCTCCTTCGTCCCTTTCTCCTTCTCTTCTCCTCGTCCCTTCCTCCTCATCGTGTCTGCTCCTCCGGTCTTTGACGTCACTGTGTCGTGCTGGAATCGATGTACACAAGAAGTTAAAGAGTACGTGAGAAGAGAACATGTCAGAACATGCAAAACTCAATGTCAGAATTTGTGCCCGAGCAAGTGTCAGCTAATTATGTGTCAGAACATATATATTTATATGTCTGAACAAATGCCAGAACACTTGCAGTTGATGTCAGAACAGATGCACGAGTAGAGGCCGGAACAACTGTCAGAACAAATGTCAGAACAGATGCAAGACTTGACGTCAAGACATATGCCAGAAAAAATGCCAGAGTACACATCAGAACAAACGTCAGATGACATGTCAGAATGTCAGAACATATGCACGACTTGATGCCAGAACACGTGTCAGTTCATTTGTCGTCGGTGAGTCGATGCGTCTCCTTCTATTGTTGAAAGCACCTCTTGGGGTGGGTCACTCTAAGTACAGGTCATTCTTAAAAGAGCCGGGTTTGTTCATGTAAGTTCGACCTTGAATCGAATGTGGCTGCCAGCAATCTTTTCAGGTTCTTCAGAACATGGACCCAGCCGGCCTTATCACACGTTCCCCAGCAGAATCCCTTTTCCGTTTAAGCATTTTGTTCTGTGTTGTGTTTCAGACATGAAAGCTTAAATATGCAGGACTCATACATTCATGGACTCTCATGCTGAGTTTGCTGCATTTATTTAGGCAGCAATCTACAGAAACCTGTTTGTTTCAGAAGTCAAACATGTTCTTTTCCTACGATATACTATTGTGAATCTACATGTTCAAACTGGAATCTATTTATATACAATGATCTATTCTTTAAGTAAATTCAATTCTTCTATGTATATATATATATATATTTGTTTTGGGGCTTCTGCTCTACTTTTCGACTTGAACATTATTCGATTCTGTTTCCCAGTCTTCAGCTACCGGCAAACTGCTATATACTAGCACATCCACAACACAGTCTACACAAAGTAGGTTTTTATTTGTGAGATCCTTGGCCCTTGGTGCAGAACAGTAGGAACGCCTTGTGTAAGGAAAATTCCAGAAAGCGGAATTATGACTCTCCTCGATGCACTACAGCAGTCCTTTGAGTTTGCACAGGACAATCTTCCATTCTTCTCGAAACAGACGAGTGTTGAACTCTGAATGACTTCAAGGGCATTGAAGAAAATGCCTCCTTCTGGAGGAATTCAATCGGCAGATTGAGCTCCGTCAAGCCTTGAAAAGACTTGGCTTCATGAAAGAAGTGCCAAGCACTTGGTCTCGTTGTTGAAGACGGCCTGCTGTCCACTGCCGTGAATAGTAGACAAGTGAGACTCTTTGTGTGCCTGCAATTGCTAGGAAGCAACTGCCTGGGCTGTCCATCTGGCAAGCTTCCGCGAAGACAGGGCTTTCACAGCCAAATACAACAGATGTTTGTACATGCCGTTACATTTCTTACATTTTCAGACGCATGCGGTTGTGGGCAAGTCTTCTCGAGATGTGCATGCAAAATGAGATATCACTGCATTTGCGCCAGGCTAAAACAGGAGAGAGAGTCACTGAGCTGCTCCCTGAGAATTCTCTTTCAGGTGGGAGTGTTTGGCAAGGAGTTTGTCAGTCAAATTGTACAGAAGTTGTGGGAAGCAAGGGTGTTAGTAACTGTTAGTCCATTTTTGAACAAGGCAAGCCGAAGCTATTGCATTCTGTTTCTGAACTTTGAACTCGGTACACTGTACTGTAGTTGAAATTACACTATATAATTGAAAACTTGGAGCAGGAACCCCTCAAGCGGAGCACAAACTTGACACTGGCAGAAAATCTGAAGCCATGCAAGAACGTCACACGAATATAACGGTTTTCTTTGCTTTGCGTCGCGTAAGTCTCAAGTTTCAAAGTAAACAGTAAACGAGCAGAACGGTGCAGGTGCAGGCTGACCCAAGAATGAGTGGCAGTGAGTTTTCATCCCGTGCCGTGGATCGTGCTGCCGGCTTGCATTTGCTTGAATTTGCTATAAGTCTTTGGTTGAAGGGAAGGACTCATTGTTACAGGTTCCATGGCTTCTTCACAAGAAGCTACATTGCATAAGTATCCAAAGTCTGGAGACTAAAGCAAGCTTTGAGAGGAAGTTCAGATGCAAACTCTTCGGCTAAGCTGGAGATTTGACGCAAGGCCTTCTCAGACTCTGCAGCTCCGTGCTACAAAACTATGTAAACAAGGCGGAGCCGACTAGTCAAATGAGTGGACGAGTCGAATTGTGTGCAGTGCTCAAACCGTGGAGAAACAAACAAGGCGAAACAAAAACTGTTTGATTTGAGGAGCGGATTCTGCAGCGTTCCGAGGCGTAAGGACCTCAAGAATCCCACGCCAGACAGACTTGAAACGCAAGGAGACAGACTCGATCAATTCTCCAAAGACCTTCATGTTTTTTCTTGTTTTCCCTTTTCCTTGTGTCTGGCAGTCTTCTCAGGCCAGAATCTGCAGAGACCCTCAAGGACAAGGAGGCACACGTCGTGATGTGGCAGTTTTGCAGATTTGCTGCGATTGACCACCTAACCCAGATTCTCAGGGTGTTGACATGTGCATGGAGAGTTCAATCCGCAACATCAGATGCAGGAATTTGGAATAGTTATCACCTGTCAAGCCTTCCATTGACCATTCCCTCATTTTCCCATTTTGCTGTATGTACTTCCCACAAGTAAACAAGAGCCCCTTGTAGCATGTTGCGACAAGTAAACAACGCAGAAGCAGCTGCTCCGTAATTTCGACAAACCTTTGCATGCCGTCTGCCATATTGAGGATGACAGTTCGGTTTTCTTGCAGACTCTAATCAAGAAAGCAAAACAGTGATGATCTTTAGGAAAAGTAAGGCCTCATGTTCAGAAGGACTCTAGATTGGGAGGGGGCATGGAAGAAAACAATGAAGTGTGGAACAGCTAACACTTCTTCACCCCTGTTCTACATTGCAAGCTGTATAGCAAGGTCTTACTGTAATATTTTCTTCCCATTTCTTGCCCAGATGGCCCGGGGTTATGGCTACCTGCCTCTGTTGTCAAAAGTAGTCTACCACTTTGGGAGGCTTTACCAATGGCCTTTTTTGTCAACCACTTGCGTTGCCACTATCCACGTGATTTTGCTTTCTGTCACACTTTCACCGTCGAATTCAAAAAATATATACTGTAGAGTCCTTGCACCTTATCAAGCTCGCTACCTTTCCCTAAAGAAGTCCGGCAGCAGTTCATTCTAATTTTGTGATGCCAGTCACAACGCTGAGACCCATTTGCATTTTCAGCATCAGCAAAATTGCACGTGACCATGTCGGAGCGCAAACTAGGAAGGGGTGCCAGCACATTGAAGATTTATCCATATCCACTGGATAAAGTAGAAGACAAATTGAAATACAAGATAATTTACGCCCTTCACTACTTTTTGCACACCTGCAATTTTAATGTATACTGTAAGCAAGAAATACGATTGGTCGTGTTCAGCCAGCCACCCTCACATGTCGGTGTTGACTTTCCACTTTTTTCATGACTCAATGCATAGCAGTGACTAAATACGGCAGTTGGAGTCTTTGAGAGATCTGTGAAAAGATTTGAGGCAACGATCGTGGAGGTGGAACGTGAGGCACCAGCTGCGGGAACTGCAAACAACTTTGAACTAACAACTTTTAAACATGGTTTTCAGTCGGAGTGTGCTGTCAGGTAGTAGGGCTAAGTAGGGCTAGTAGGTCGCAAAGACGGACTTTTCGCAAGGCGAAAACGATTCTTGGTCTTGGACAACGACTTTCCTATGGTTTCTCCAATGTTTCCCTGAACCCCTGCCTCACCTTTGAGCTTTTGGATGCAGGTTCATGGATTGGTGCCTATCATCTCTGAAGTGAGAAGCTAAGTTTTTTGTGCTCATCGGATTTACTTGAACATGCGAAGCAGACGACCCCGACCCTGCCCGTGATTATGCAGAGATGCATCCAATCCTTTTTGTTCCACATGCATGGGCATCAGGCTTCCATTATCTCATGAGCATCGCGCACATTGAAGTGTTTAGATTGAAATCACCATATGTGTGCACCTTCAAGAAGTAGTCCCCCAAATTTAAAAGCCGAAATGGCTTAGTACTCCTGTGTGACTCGACAGAAGCAGCAAAAGCCTTTGAGGCACATGGTCTAGGACGAGTCCTAAAGCAGAAGAGTCATGCTGAGTGTGTGGACATTGTTTCTTCTAGCGTGCAGTTGTTCATCTTTTGCGGTGGTGGTATTGTTGGTTGTATTTTGTTCAGTTGTCGTTGTTATGTGAGTGAGGTCTTGGTGCAGAATGTCCTTGTGTCTCGTTCTCTTGCGCTTCGTCCAGTTTAAACGTTTTTGTCCATTCAATCTATTCCGCCTTTCTTAGGACAATACTGCAAACAAATTCCCATGCCACACTGTGCAAAAGTTGCTCCCTGCCTCCATGAATTCCGTCCAAGAAACTTTTGCTTGGCCAAAACATGTTTCAGAAGGTTTTATGAAGCAACGTTAGTGCAACCAATCGTAGTCAATGACCGACATCAAGACCCAATGGCAATGAAGAAGGTATTGCACCAGGACATTGATCGTCGATTCAGCAGTAGCACAGGTGAATGCATTGTAAGCACTAGGCAATACTAGGCAGTGCAGAAAAAGACATGGATCTATCGAGCTTTGACATGGGTCTAAGAACAAGACCGCTGCGTAACAACCGATTACTCTCGCAACGTTTGACTACTCTTGTCAGGTGGTGGTCAAGGGATTGAAAGACCTTCCGCCGAAGCTGTTTGAGCAGCGCACCTCCAAGATTTGCCGACTATTCTTGGAAGCTTCTGTTTGCAGCTAGTAGTAACGGCCTCCAACCTACTAGCTTCTGTTTGCAGAGATGTTGATTTCATGGCATACTGTACCTGACGCAAGGCACATCCACGTACTTTTTCCTCTCTTCTGTGACCTGACGATCGTAAGTTCTCGCGAGGCCATATGGGCATTTGTATATCCAGGTCTAAACTTGTTTGGAATTGACAGATACTTCGCCAAGCTGTGCAAGGTTCGCGCTCTGGTGCGAGACGTGCTTCTGGAGCAGGTAGCTCCCCTCCTCAAGCCAAGCCACAGACTGAGAAAGTCTTTAATCGCTTTCATTTGTTTCGAGTTGCAAGAAACAGAACAAGAGTGGACAACATGTTTATGCAGAACCCCGGACTATTCTGCGTTTTACATTTTTTTGCTTTTCAAGTGCTATCTGGCTTATAATATATATATATATACTGTAGTATGTAGTATAATGTCATATAATATATTACAATACAATATAATGTAATACACCATAACATAATATAACATAGTATACTACAATATAATATTATATGATATAATACAATATAATATAACATAATATATGATGATGAATGCCTAGAGTACCAACACCTTGCATGAGGTGCATTGCATTGTTAACAGAGTACATATACTTTACAGCATATCAATTATCTATACATATTCCATACTTGCATAGCAAGCAGCAGCCTCAACTGGCTTTTTCCATTTGGGAGGTACAGCTAAGAATATGAGAGGGTCAAAGTGCTATGGAGTTCTGGATGGCCGATGAGGAGAGGTTCAAGGTCTCTTGAGGTCAACCCGGAAGGAAAAGGAGATAAAAAAGAAGGTAAGTGGATTTTTCCAATCGCATACCTTTTCTCCAAGTTTTCCAGATGAAGCTCGGTACCTTTTTGCTGCTGGTGGATTCGCTAAGCATCCATGGTCAGCAGCAGGTGCACATGAGATTGGTTTTGGTCTTGAAGTCAATGTGGGCAGTTTGTGGTAAGGTCCTTGAAGTCATCCAACATCATGAAACTCTGAGAGCTACTTTCCGTGTGAAGCCGTAGATCCATCATTTCGGCTTGTGAGACGACATGCTGCAACGTGACATGCTGATCCGTGCAAGCGTACAGAGCTTGCGAGTTGGATTGCCGTTCAATGCGGATCCTAGAGTGACCAACAACAACCAGCGGCGCAGTCGTGCAGTCTGTGTTGCTGGTTCTTCCAATCGGTTTCCAGCCGACAATGCACGAAGGCACTTGCCAGGTGGGCTTGGTCTGGCTTTCTCACTTGTAGACTTTGGAACACACAGAAAGTACATGAAAGTAATATGTTAAAGTCTGCCCACCAAGTTTTCTGGAACAATGGCAATGTCAAATTCGTCTCACTGGAGCAGGGCTGCGGTCGCAAATTGTCGATGCGGTCAATCGCAGAAATTTGTTGGTCATTAAAAAGAAGAACAAGTGCATCGCTGCTAGTAACACGTGCATTACTACTAGTAACAAGAAGCTACTAGTAACAACTTCGATTCTCAGAGTTTTCTCGAGAAGCAGCGAAGCACAGCGAAGCATTTGGAATGAAGCATGCCGAAAGGGTGCAGGTTGGAGTGTCTAGGCCGTAGATGTCTGATCTCAAGCTTTCAAAATAGCAAAGCAACAGGCTTGTGCACTAACACGTGTCAGACATTTCTTAGATGAAGAGAACCTAGTGACAAGGTATTTTGAAGCTCGGTTATTCTCGAGTAGCCGACCGGGGTCATTTGATTTGTCTCAGGCCTTTTTGAGCTTTTTGATTCTTCGCTGGTTGCTTGATTTCTCAAATGCAGCACCGACAGGCTTCCAGCAGCTAACATTTCAATGGTGCTTAGCTCAAATTTTCTTGAAGATCTTTGCAAAGCAATCTGCATATGATGAGCATCCATTCAAGACAGAATTGAACCATCCACAGTAAGGCATCTGAATCACCGGAGCCACAGGAGGTGCAAAATGGGTTGCTTTTCATAGTGCCACGTCCTACACAAAACTTCTCATTGCCAGGATTGGGTCGCAAAAAACTTTGCCTTTTCTGTGAGCCAGGAGCAGCCTGTTACCCACGAGCCATTTGTGCTCAAGATCTTGGCAACTGTGCAGGTTCTTGCAGCTTGTGTTAGAACAGTTTGTGAAAAGCAATCGGACAGTTTGGGAGGTCCATCGAAACCTCAATGGTCTTCGTCACAATGATCATTTGAGGCTGAGCTTCTCACTCTGTGTACTGCAGGTGGGTTTGTAGATTTGCAGGTATCGTCAGTATTGCAGCCGACGCCTTCGCCGTCTCTACTTTGCTCTACGCTTCAAGCATGGCAAGAATCGCTTCAAACAGGCCAGGATGTTCTTCTTCCAGCAGTACCTGCATAGGAAGATAGCACCAACATTTAGGCCAGTCTTGTGTGTTTGTGGTTTAAGTTGAAATTGCTAGGCGAGCTTTCCCGAGAATTTTGATGACCCCAAATGGATATTCATTCCGCTGGTCCAAACTGAACGAGCCTGGGCATTTGGAGCTTGAGACTCAGCCCTACCCAACAGGATCGAAATTCGTGAGACTGCTTTTGGACTTTTCCTGTCCAAAAAGTAATCGATCACTCTTTTCCAACATTCTTTTCAATTTAGGTCCAGTTGAAGGCAGACAATGCAGCGGCAGCAGCACGGAGACCAAGTGCGATAGGGTGAAGCAGCTTCTATGCAAGGCTTTTTTCCTAGTTCCATGGCGGAGCCTTTTCATGTGAAGGAGGCAGTTCTTTTCTTTCTTGGCAAAACACTGAAGAGAGACTTACAAGGCCTTCAACGCTCGTTGGAGACACCATTCTGAGCGCAAGCAAGCACCCAAGGAGAACAGAATTATCTCGCCCACTCCTGACGTGTCTGAACATTGTTTGTTCAAAGGTTTGCGAAGGCATGCCAATATGCACAGCATTTGGAGTCAGCGTCGGCCTTGAAGATCCGATTGCCCAGCAGGTCTACCGACGGCCGAGTCTTACAGTTTGGTAATCAGACCTTGTCAGACCTTACTAGTAACAAAGGGCATCGCTACTAGGAACAAGAACGCTACTAGGGGCTCCTGGCCTTACTACTAGAGCAAGGACGCTACTAGTAACAAAGGGCATCGCTACTAGGAACAAG